AGATATTGGCCTACTATATTTCATCGATGCATCCAATAAGTTGCATCTGATGTATTTACACTAATGAGAGCAGGGCAAGGAGACAGGACTCTAATATATTGTACTAGACACAACCGTTCAACCAATGCACGCATTTTTTTCACTCCTTGTGCAACGGTTGAATCGTCGATCAACCCACATGATATTAGACGTGGTAGTAATGAAATGCCTCAAACGAGATTTATTAGAGAAGGAGGATCAAACCCCGGGGTCTGAAACAACATAGTATCTTGCTTTACCTTCTGTAATTAGGACTGACCTAATGGTTATAAAAATGAAACATGGTATTCCTAGTGACAGAAAGGGGGGTATTCACATGTCTATATATGCTCGTTTTTATGTGTCTCCATATTTTTGGGAGATGTTACGAACCTATGAACAAGAACCCCCTTCAAACAAAATACCCACGTCAAACATGCATTGCGTACATAAAACGCTAGCAAGTATTCTTATTTTCCCAACATGGCGAATCAAAGGCCAACATGCCAAATAAAAAAAGCCAACATGTAGCCAGGACGTGTTATTGGAAGAGCTCTTTTATGGTACCCTTTATTGAATACAGGCCGTCTAATGGCAAAGATCCAAGGGTTGTTAGATATCTGTACCGGTGAAAATGGATCAGCAGTATCGCTAGTACTGTGTGTTTCTCGTCCACCGGTATACGCGCTTGCAGTTCATTATTTGGCGACTCTGCATCTCCGGCAGACGTCCCCGGACGTTCGTCTCCCCTTAATCCATCGTGATCGTGGATTGATGCTTCTGCGGTTATGATGTTATGGCCCGTTGCCGTGCGCCCCATCCGCACCCTAGCATCACGCTTATTGTGCCTCGTGCATGGCCGTAGCGCATGCCAAACCACCCTGCGCTGCGGACGAGCTCGCCGGCGTCGACGACGGGCCAGGATGTGCAAGATGTGCCAGTCTTCTGACGCCGGAAGAGCTGCGTCTAGGTGAGTGCCGGAGCGTGGCGGAACCTCTACTTCGGCCGCATCTTGCAGGACGTGGAGCTGCTCATCTACCTTTGCTGTGAGGTCGACAACCACGTCGTGTGCTAGAATGCTCACCCAGGCATGGCTCAACCTGCTTGTGTCCTGGTCGCTCAGAAGTATTGGCCCACCAGAGCAGTTCCCTTTGTGATCAACGGTGGGATCACACATATACTGCTCCCTCCCCAGTAGCAGTATAGGGTACCGTAAAAACCCTCTATTGGAAGCCACTCGTTGACCTTGGATGAAGCTTCAGATGGGAAGTTGGTACCTCGCAAAAAAAACTATTTGTGTGGGAGGGGGTACACCAACTACTGGAGTGTGTGGGTGTGGGTGGGGGAGGGGGAGGGGGGCCTTGGCCCCCCTCCACCTGATCAACGCTGCATATAGAGAGGCCTATTACTCACTAAGTACCTATGGCACATATAGAGGATATACATGACACTCACATGCATTTAGTACTTCACAATATTTTCTCAGATGTGGCGAATCAAATCTCGGGGTATAGTTGACACATGTCGCTGGCAGCCAATTATCGCCTTGAATGAAGTTCTGGTCAGTGCATTCTAGAACACCGCAGCCAGGGCATCGAAGAAGAAATCAATGGAGCCTTCGATCTAGCATTCGTGGTAAATCTGCCTATGATCCTTGGCGTAAAGGGTGTCCTGGTAGCAGAGGATGGCACACAATTAGACAACAGACATGTCAGACTTGGACAAGAGTGTCGCTAGCTGGTGCTTTGGGGGCTCCTACCATGTTTTCGATTGTCATGTCGTGGGCGATGAAGCCTTGCCCTAGAATTATAACTCGAAGCTCACAAGCTAAACAAGTAGCTCATGACTCGTCTCAAAATCCTTGGCTAATGAGTCAAGCTGAGTTTTAATCTGAGCTCGTTAACAAAATGAGTTTAACGAGTCGAGCAAACGAGTTACTTGTTTAACTCTTAAAGCTTGTTAATCAGAAGGAACATAAGTTAAGATCAATATTGTAGTTGATTGTTGTCATTTGTGGCGTGCAATATGTGCCCCTTTGGCGTAATGTTTTTATCGTTATGACTTGTGAAGAAAAACCAGGTGTTAATTTTTATATATATTATTACATGTATAATAAATATAGTTTGGTGTGCACATTTTACAATATTTACTCGCAGTTTAGGTTAACCGAGTCAAAATTTGAGCTTGTTATGATAATGAATCAAGCTAAGCTAACTCATTATCCTAACAAGCTCTAGCGAGTCGAGCCGAACCATCTCGGATCGAATAGCCCTAACGGCTGCTATTGATCGAGCACACAAGTGAAGTTGTGCATGCATGTTGGCATGCATACAAGTATATTGTTGGGTGTGACACAAGCTCAGTGGACTAAGATTTTGTTTAGGTAATTGATCACATGAATAACTCTGTCGATCACATACATCTCTACACCTTCCATCAAGGTTTTTCATTGGCTGCATCTGAGAGCTGGCATGTGAGGGCATTTTCAATAGTTGTAAGATAAGTGTTGATAGAATTTTCCAGATAGGAATATTTTGGGATGTGGCATATAATAAACGAGGAGAGAGAGTAGGGTTGTAAGTACATGAACCAACAACCCTTGCATAAGCTCCAAAGTGGAATGAGATTTCAAGATTATAAATACTCTCAACTCTCACTGGAGACACTACATACACTCTATTAGAGTAGTTGTATGATGAGTTGTTGACTGATGACATGGCTACTTTTACCAACAAACTATTAGAAATGACCTAGGAGAGTGCATGGAGGGTGAGATGGAAGGATTAATGTGAGCAGATTAATATATGGCTTGGTTCAAAAGAAGTGGACCTTGTGGTGGAGACTGATTGTGCTGAAGCCGAGCAATTAATTTCGGCATCCCAACAAGATTATTCTGCTCACATGCATAGAGTTATGGAGATCAGTTGTTGTTATCTCAAGAAAGGAGGATCATATAGTTAAGATCAAGTGTAATGCAAATTTAGCTAGTCATACCCTTGCTCAAATGGGGAGCATGCAACAATGTACTGCTTGTTGGCCGCATACGTCCCCCAATGAGATTGCGAGCATCATTGCCGCTGATTGTAATCACATTACCTGATGAATGAAATTTCCTTTCCCGCAAAAAAAAGTCGCCCTCGGGTCTAATGAACCCGTATGGAGGGAATATGTTTATTCCCCGAAGGTCGGTTTCTGGTTTGTTTCTCGTAGTGCATTGTGCTGCACCACACGACAAGACCTATCATAATGCTTGTGGTTTTATTTTTTCTTTTGGGCTGAGCTTGCCACTACATATGTTATGTTCTGCCTTTTTTGGCTTGGCTCTTCTTGCCTAGGCTGGTGTTTCTTTGATCTTTTCCTTTTTCTGAAACAAAAGCAGTGGGTTAGGTCTTACCAGCTGGGAGATCCTATGTGACTGACACATTAAGTGTCAAAATGCTAGTGTTAGGTGCAGGCATGCCCGGTCCGGCCCATGGGGAAAGTATCCGGTGCACCAGACGCCGCAGCGTGTTAAATATGCTTTAAAAAATCTGAAGATAATTGTAGGGCATTGGCATAATATTGGTCTATATTGTTGCAAAAATTCCAACCAAATTTAAAACATTGGAAGATATACAAAAATGACAATTTTAGCATCACTGTGATAATGGGCCAAATGTAAAGCCCAACTTCTGTTCTGTACTATTCGATGTCGATTTTGTGATTTTTGTACCTCAAGCAATATTTCAAATTTTGAGTTGAAATTTGGCGACAACATAGACTCATTTTGTGTGAATGTGTTATTTCTTTCCCAAAAAAATTGAAACTTTTTTATTATGCTACGGGCGTCCGGTGCACCGGTAGCACCACAAGTACCGGCACACAAGATACTTTCCCAGCAAACTCGCTTAGCCATCGCTCCTGCTGGGTTTTTGGTTCTTTCTTTGCTTTTTTTAGTTTATAATTTTAGGGGTCAAGAAAAAAATATTTTTTAAATGAATACTTTTACAAAAATTGAACATATTTTATAAAATGCAAACAATTTTTGCAAAACTGAGGAAAATTTTCGACAACATTATTTTTTAATTTTTCAAAATTCTGAATGTTTTTCTTGCAAATTTGCAAGCATTTTTTAAAAATCATAAAAAATAAATCCCAACATTTATTGACATATTTTACATAAGGCTAACCATTTTCGAACCTAATTTCAAACTGTGAACATTTCTTAGATGCGAATATATTTAAAAATTTTGAGCATTTTCAAAACACAAACATTTTAAAAATCTAATTTTTTTTAATAAAAAGTAAAGAAAAATGGTAAATTCAAAAATATAAAACTGAAACAAAACCGGATCGAACTTTCTAAGTTCCCAAAACCTATAGAAAAAGAGGCGTACAGGAACCTTATGGAATGTTCACAAAACCTGAATGCATTAGTGTGTATTCTAGCTAGCGCTCTCGTCGCTTTGTCCGGAGGCGACGAACGGACATGAGACAGAGTCGACGCACGCGGGCTCCACCTCGACAGCGGGGAGGTGACGACGGTCGTGCCGCCTTTAACGTTGTCCTCGGGCGCCGGCTTCTTCTGCTGCCTCCAGAAGGCCTCCACCTCCTCCTTGGTGAGCCACCGGTTCCTCATGAAACGAACTGCATATATAGACGTGGTTGTACGATCGTGCGGATCTGATGTTTATCGTCCAATTGACTGGTGGTTAGTCGCTTCCAATCGACTGGTGCATCTTGTTTTAGTCTCGAATTTTGTTTTTGGTACTATCTGAGATGCCAAATACAGAAAGTGACGTATACACATAGTATATCTCCAAGGTTACATGAACGACAATACAGAAAGTGACATGCCACATGCTACAGAGATCAAACATTAGCAAAGCCACCACTCCAAGTAGGACTGTACGTAGTATATCTACACGGCTGGTACGTAGTACTGTACGTATTTACAGGGATAGTACAAAGCTAACTTAGCAAAGTAATTAAAGAGATGATGATCAGACGGCGGCGGCGGCGCCTTGCCTAACGCCTGCTCCCTCGCGCTTCGGCGGCGGCGGCGGCTCGTTGAGGAACGCCCAGCTGCTCCTCGTCCACCTGCATGCACACAACCACAACCAGCCGTACGTCATCGATACATGTACACATGGATCCATGCATGCTATGAATATGTTCATGTAATATGTATGAACTCAACAAGCTCATTTCGCAAACAGAAAAGACTCTAGAAGCTCATGCTAGGTAAGGTACGTTACGTACCAGCCGTACGTGATCGATACATGTACACATGGATCCATGCATGTTATGAATATGTTCATGTGTGAACTCAATAACCTCATGCTAGGTAAGCTATACGTACCAATCGCGGCTCGCGCTGGGGCTAGCGGCAGCCTCGCCGTCACCGTCCACGCTAGTAGTCATCACCGGCGGCGACGAACGGACATGAGACAGAGTCGACGGACGCGGGGTCGACCTCGGGCTCCCCTTCTAATTAACCAACACATGCAAGCAGAGTAAAAAAAATCAAGTACGCATTTGACAAGCTTGATAAAGGAGCCCGATGCAAATCCGACGGATGCACGCATGCATGCGAACCGGTTACGTACGAGGGGAGAGGAGGCGACGACGGTCTCGCCGCCGTCGACGTTGCCCTCCGGCGCCGGCTTCTTGTGCTGCCTCCAGAAGGCCTCCACCTCGTCCTTGGTCAGCGACCGGTTCCTCATAAAACGAACTGCATACATACATGGATGCCATAACAGAAGACAAATTATGAATCTTGCAACGTGATGTTGCATGCACTACGGATGGTGGATGGCTGTACACGGCGGACGTAGTACCTTTGAGGTCGTCGTCGAGCGCATGGGAGCTCCAGCCAGCCATGAGAGAGCCCATATCGACGTAGCTAGCAATTAGCTTGATCGACGAGCATGCATACGAGTGATCGATGGATCGGTGGTGATAAGCCTCAGCGGACAGCATGCCCTTTTATACGCGCTAGAAAGCATCCATGGATAAGTTTGAGCTGTCCAAGCACGTAGCTGGCGCACACCGTCGTCTCCCAGTGCTGCGTGTCTGCCATGCACGCGCCTGCGAGTCAGTGCGTGCGTGCATGCATGCTGGGGCGTATGTGTGCGGCTCCTTTTGTCGTCAACCTCTCGAACGATCGTCATGTCCGTCGGTCGGTCTCTAGTAGAGCCGCAGGTCATCGTTATCGGCAGCGTTGGACGCTAGCTGCGCGTGCACCGCACTGCATGCGTACATTCGTTACCGCGGCACGAACATACGACGAAAACAGAGGGGATGTCACAAGTGCGACGGGCCGTAACCGTACAGCCACCTCACATACGACGGCGCCGAAATGAAAACAGAGAGGGTGTCACAAGCTTTCACCCGAAGTTCGATGGCCTTGGTTTTGAACAACGAAAAGAGTATTCTTCGACTTTGTAAATGTTACTCTCATTTCTCCTGTGCTGAGAAGTGATGCACTGTATCATTTATCACAACCCACGAGGTTTTTCTTTTCTTTTTCATAGATTTATTTTTTATTTCATAGATTTATTTTTGTATCCCTAGAACAAGACGTCCAAATTATTAATTGTTTTCATCATTAGATTTCTAGCGTTGAGACCTTCAAAACTAGATCCCATATTAATAGATTTTTAACGATTTTTATGAAAAAAAAGGCAGAACACTCAAAATGGCGGTAGGCATTTTAGCCTAGTGCTCGTAATAGGGAAGGCACTAGTTCTATGAAGGCGGAACACTCCTAGAATTTGGTGGAAGCACTATTGTTTTATTTTTATTCTTCAAGTGCTACACACTCTTATGTTTTTTTTTCAAGTGCTCACACTACTCCGAGCAATAAAAAAAAACTAATACATACACACATGTTTGGCAGAAGGCACTACTGACAATGTTATGTATTTGGCAGAAGGCACTAGTGCAATGTTAGGTATTTGGTGGAAGGTTATTGTTGTTAGACTCGTATAGAGTTGGATAGCCGGCTCTTGTATCGACTGCGAACGCGTCCCGACACGACCAACAGTCGGATAGTGCGTCCATTTTAAAAGATAGTGTTGAAGATGCCCTTATACTTATTTGCAAGGAGGGCCAATTTTGTTTTGTGACTTAAAAAGAGAATGTCTTTGCTCGGTGGTTAGCCAGATGGAATGAGGAGGAGTGACAACTTCTGTAAGGTATAATCGGTGGATTGTTCGCTCTTGAGACTTAATGTTGTTTTTCATTTATTTCACTCCCTGCTTCGGGCATTCTAGGATAATAGGATGCTATGGTGTTTGAAAAACCGATAAAGTTGGTTAAAACAAACCAAATGCGTACTATGTTTTCACCATTTATGGGTCTATTGTGTGATTTTGGCAAGAAAATACAAGTATGTGGCTGTTTATGTAAAACACGCACGCACACTCACCTCTACAAATGGATGCACGCACTACTTACCCATATGAGCACTTTTGAGAGACTGGGCTCATAATCGATCATATAATGACACAATGCGAAGTTATATAGTTCCCAGACAATATTAATTTTTTTGTAAATTCAAAAGGTCAATTGCAGATAATTAAGTTTGTGACTAAATTTTCACATATGCATGGCTGAAAGAACCAAACATTTATTTCATAAGACCAATATATATGTTGATTAACATTAGTTATGTTCTTTCTTCCACCATTTGCGATTTTTAAATGTATAATGATTGCATTTCAATGTTGAATTTTATCAACGAAATAAACAATATTTATAAAATGCCTAAAATAATGAAACATACAAAGTTCAAAGTATTTTCCATACAATACCATAAAATCATAAAACACTAAAACCAAAAAAATACACAAAACCAGTAAAAAATACCTAAATATTATACCAGCGACGGGTTGAGCTATGACTAAGAGACCGCCACTAATAAGTTATGCCTTACGGCTAACCAAGGCAAAATCAGACCCATATTACTAGTGGCGGTCATGACAAAGTGCTCGCCACTTGTAAATTTGGCAAACGGGTAACCTGAGACCATATTACCATTGTTGGGCATGTTTTGCCTCCTGCCATGATAAGCTGACACCACTATTGGGCATGTTTTCTCGCACACCACTGGTATCTAGCTAGACTACCAGTGGGGGGTCTCCATCTTCTGCCCGTCACTGGTGGGGGCTCCTACCATGTTTTTGATTGTCATGTCGTGGGCTATGAAGCCTTGCCCTAGAATTATAACTCGAAGCTCACAAGCTAAACAAGTAGCTCATGACTCGTCTCAAAATCCTTGGCTAATGAGTCAAGCTGAGTTTTAATCTGAGCTCGTTAACAAAATGAGTTTAAGGAGTCGAGCAAACGAGTTACTTGTTTAACTCTTAAAGCTTGTTAATCAGAAGGAACATAAGTTAAGATCAATATTGTAGTTGATTGTTGTCATTTGTGGCGTGCAATATGTGCCCCTTTGGCGTAATGTTTTTATCGTTATGACTTGTGAAGAAAAACCAGGTGTTAATTTTTATATATATTATTACATGTATAATAAATATAGTTTGGTGTGGACATTTTACAATATTTTACTCGCAGTTTAGGTTAACCGAGTCAAAATTTGAGCTTGTTATAATAATGAATCAAGCTAAGCTAACTCATTATCCTAACAAGCTCTAGTGAGTCGAGCTGAACCATCTCGGATCGAATAGCCCTAACGTCTGCTATTGATTGAGCACACAAGTGAAGTTGTGCATGCATGTTGGCACGCATACAAGTATATTGTTGGGTGTGACACAAGCTCAGTGGACTAAGATTTTGTTTAGGTAATTGATCACATGAATAACTCTGTCGATCACATACATCTCTACACCTTCCATCAAGGTTTTTCATTGGCTGCATCTGAGAGCTGGCATGTGAGGGCATTTTCAATAGTTGTAAGATAAGTGTCGGTGTCAAAACCGGCGGATCTCGGGTAGGGGGTCCCGAACTGTGCGTCTAGGCGGATGGTAACAGGAGACAAGGGACACGATGTTTTTACCCAGGTTCGGGCCCTCTTGATGGAGGTAAAACCCTACGTCCTGCTTGATTAATATTGATGATGTGTGTTACAAGAGTGGATCTACCACGAGATCAAGGAGGCTAAACCCTAGAAGCTAGCCTATGGTATGATTGTTGTTCGTCCTATGGACTACAACCATCCGGTTTATATAGACACCGGAGAGGGCTAGGGTTACACAAAGTCGGTTACAAAGGTAGGAAATCTACATATCCGTATCGCCAAGCTTGCCTTCCACGCCAAGGAAAGTCCCATCCGGACACGGGACGAAGTCTTCAATCTTGTATCTTCGTAGTCTTGGAGTCCGGCCGATGATGATAGTTCGGCTATCCGGACATCCCCTAGTCCGGGACTCCCTCAGTAGCCCCCGAACCGGGCTTCAGCGACGACGAGTCTGGCGCGTATATTGTCTTCGGCGTCGTAAGGCGGGTTCTCCTTCAAACTTCATGTTCCTGTCGAATAGTGTCCGGCTTCCTTATAAATGTTGCGCTCCTTGGCTTCTACGCCCAATAATGGCCTTCTTCCACGCGTCGTACGAATCCGAAAGGCTGAGGTATTTTTTACATTTTACCCCCTAGCCGTGCGAACGAGCCGCCTATAAGAGAGGCGAGGATCTAGATCCAGCTCACACCATCCTCCATACGCAAGTTCTTATCGAAGCGCCTCTGACAAAAATCCATTCCATCATGGATAGTCGACGCGGCTCCTCCTCTCGCGCTCCCAGCCCTAAGCTAGGAGATTGGGGGAGATGCTCAGTTCCACACAGCGAGCTAGTGGCGCTCCAAACCGAGGGATATCTTCCCCCAGCTTTCATGGTTCCGGTTCGAGCCGTACTGGCCACCTATAAGGGTGGAAAGCAGGCGAAGAGCGTCCCCGACCCTTCCAAAGGAGAGCGGGTATGCTTTGTCCCTTATCTAATAAGGGGACTCGGATTTCCCATACATCCGTTTCTCCGGGGGCTCCTAGAGTTCTACGGACTCCAGCTTCACCACCTCACGCCCGCCTCTATTTTGCACATCGCGGGCTTCGTAGCTCTTTGTGAGGGCATCGAGCCCCATTTTGCGCTGTGGAAGAGATTGTTTTGTCTCGTACCCCGTTCTCATGAGGGGTCGATATATCAAGTGGGCGGAGCCGAAATATGGCGCATCGTCGGGACCGGATATCTATCCGGCACCCCGAAGAAGGCGTCCGAAGACTGGCCTTCGAAATGGTTCTACATGGAGGACGCCCCTCTGCCGGATCCAGTTCGGATCGGCCTCCCGGAGTTCAGCAATGCTCCCTTGAAGAAACGCCTGAGTTGGCGCCCGCGGAGCCCTCAACGGGAAGATGATAGGAGCGTCCATTATCTGATGGGCCGGAAGGATTAGGTTACTGGCCCACTCCGGATTGACCATGATTGGAGTCATGTCCACATGCATTATGCGAGGGGTGCAGCCACTCCAATATAGGGGCCACCCTATGTGGGATTTCAACGGGGAAGATGACGCCACCCGTCATGGCCGCAAAGGGCCAGGCTCGGCAGCCGATCTGGCAAAGATCCTGTCCGGCTTGTACAAGGGAGAGGAGGAGGACTTCCTCCGCACGAATCCGTTGAATGGATTCTCTATGAATAACCCTCGGAGCTGGGTAAGCGGATGTTCATCTACCCGATCCATACTTTCAAAGTCAAGTATCTTACTATGTGATTTCGATGCAGGAGCTGCGCCGGGATGTGGAAGGCATACGAAGCCTAACTCCACAGCCCGAGGATCTGGAACGATCCCTTGATCCGACCTCCGAAGAGGATCCGGACATAAAGGTGGAGCTGATTGACGGGGTGTTCCACCAACTTAGCATGGACAATGCCCTAGTCGCCATT